ATGAAAATGCGTATTCTAAACTAAATGAAATCATAAAACAAATTCCCGCTACCCATAAAGAATATAATAATGTTGTACACAAACTTTCATTATGTATTTTGAAGTTAGATAAGAAAAAAGAATTTAAGAGAGTTGAGATTTTTATTAAATATTTTAAATCGTTAAATAATTCTGAATCAGAAAAGGAAAAACAAGATGTTAAAATATTAGCTAACGAAATTGAAAATGAACTATTACTAAAGCATAATTAATAATTATCATGCTTATAATAAAGGAAACAAGAGTATTAAAAAATATGAAATTGAAATTATTAATCTAATCTAATCTAATCTTAATCTAATCTAATCTAATATATATTATTAATTTATTACAATTTAAAAATAATATAAAACTTACTATCTTCTTATTTAATAACATTAATTAAAACGAATCAAGAAGAATTTACCTATCTGACAGAATGGTTCGAAGGAAAAAAATTCAAAAGAAAAATCAAAAACCAAATTCGAGTTGTGAAAAATCAAGATGAAAAATTTATCTTCAAGTACAACTCACACAAAATAAAATTATGATCACTGATCTAAAATACTACAAACTCATAAAAAATCATTTTTGGTGTACTGGAAAACATAAAAATATATTTTATGCAAAAACAAAAATAAACCAAAAAACAAAATACTTTCATCAGTTAATTCATCCTGATTGGTCTATAACTGATCACATTAACAGAAGTGGATTGGATAATCGTGAAAAAAATTTGCAAGAGACTAATTATTCTCAAAATAATTTAAACAGAAAATTATTTAAAAATAATACTTCAGGATATAATGGTGTAAATTTCAATTTTAAATTAAAATCTTGGCGATTTCTTTGGTGTGAAAATAACAAACTTAAAACAAAAGATTTTTATATTACTAAAAAAAGAACTTATGAAGAAGCCAAGCAACTAGCAATAAATTTTAAATTAGCACATGATTTAAAAACTGGAAATAAAAATGGTTGTGAAATTAAATAGTATATATGATTTAATATTAATAAACTAACTATCAAAAAATTATATTGCTTTATTAATTAAGTCAAAAGAATAATTAATAATTATGATGCTTACAATAAAAGATATGAGAGTATCAAAAAATATCAAATTGAAATAATTCATTAAAAT